TTTCAATATTTTAAAAATAAATAAATGTTTTAAAAAAATTAATTTAATTTAATTCGTTTTCCCGGCGAAAATTATTACCGAGAAAATTATTACCGATGGATTTCCGACGGTAATATCCGGCGGTAATTGTGATAACCGGATCTTGGTTATCACCCAAGGTAATTAATGTGTGATTATCTGATTAAATGATTTCATGACAACATGATATATTGATACGTTTGATCATGCTAGTATGTGAATTTGTGCATTAATTGGATATATATACATATATATATATATACATATATATATATACATATATATATATAGAGGGATGTTATTCTACACCCTTTGTCATTCCTACACCCTATACAACCCTCATCTCAACCATTCAATTTTTAATCAATTAATTGTTTCCTAATATAAATTATTAATCATAATTAATAAACTCTATTCATATTCCATAAATATTCAAATCATAATAAATGAACTCCAATCATTTCTATAAATATCTCAATTAATTAGGTTGCAAAGGTTGTACAAATGCACAAGGTTGTAAAATAAATATACCCTATATATATATATACATATATATATATATATAAATGCATGATATATGTGTATATATGCATAGGTATATATGTATGTGTGCATGGTTTGTGGGTATGCATGCACATGGAGTAGCCGACCTTCCTGTTTGGGAAGGGTATATAAAARGGAGRTTAAGTCTCCATTAAATCTTCTTGCTATTTTTGGAGAAAAGTTGAGCGATTTAGAAGAAAAAGAGTTGACCAAATTATTTCTTGTCTAAAGATCAAGTTGGTTTTCAAAAGGCTTTTAAGGTGAGTGATTTCTAAACCTTTTTACATAAAATTTGATACTGGTTTTATTTGAATATTGATTATTATTGGAAAGAAATCAGGTATTTGTTTAAGGGTTTTATCCAGAGACAAAGGATGACCGGATTAAGTCTAAATTGGACAAAGCTTGTCCGGGTTATTCTTATGTCGATCAAGGGTTGGGCGATTAAGCCCTAAACCGCTCAAGTGTTGAACGGTTTAGTCTTAAACGATTAAGTGTCAAGCGAGTTATGATTGGTAAGAATGGTTAACATTTTGAACTGAGAAGTAGGAATACGACCATGTGGTGACCGAATTATTTTAAAKCGGTCAAGCTTTGGGCGATGTATTGTCCGGACTTGTTATCCGGACAAAGGTGTTGAAATTTATTCTAAAGTGTTAAATCGGATAAACCTTGGACGATAAGTTGTCCGGATTTGGTAAACCGGCCAAGACTTGATCGGAGATGAAGTCCGGCCAAGTCTATGCTGACCGAATTTGTTTTATGCCTTGTGCTTGAAGGATAAAAATTGTTATTTTATCATAAAATGGAATTTTGATATAAATGATTTTGGATTAATAATAATTCCAATGGTTGCGGTTTATTTGAAATTATTTTTTTGAAATGTTTTGATGAGGAAATAAGGGTAACATATCAAGGAGAGGTGTACCATGGGATAAAGGTGACATATCAAAGAGAAGTGTACCATGAGATAAGGGTGGCATATCAAGGAGAGGTGTACATTTGATATCAGGGTGTCATATGTATGTGTATTGTATGATATAACTCTTTCTATTATATCCTTTAAGATTACCGTGGTCTGGAATCTTTATTTCTCTGTGATTTAAAGATTTAGGATCAAGGTTCTTATTGGAAATCATAGTCTGGATGTTATTGAGGAGAAAATATCAGGTTTAGCCAGATTCTTTATGAAAACCTTGTTTGATTAGAAAAAGGTTTGAAAGTGGCATTATATGAAACCTGATTGGTTCAAAGGTATGAGAATTGAATAGCTGAGTGCTTAGTTTGAAAGTAAAAATGATCTGGTATTATGTCCATATTTGTTATATATATGAAAGGTTGTTTTCCATAAAGGTTTTGGTGATTTACACCCTGCAATAACATAAAAGGGTAACCCACAAGACCTTTCGGTCTAACCCTCATTTTGTGATTTTAACTATGTGTTGCAGGAGGTACGGACGGTAAGGGAAAGAGGAAAATGTAATATTTTCCTACATGCATTTCTGCATGAAGATTTGTTTTTGATGTACAATTTTGATTGATTAGTACAAGAAATGTATTTTGAATTTTGGACCTTGTATTCAGTCATGTTAGATTCTTGTACTAAGAGACCTGAATGAGATAATATAATGTATTTCTTCTGTATGAAATATGTGTTACATGCAATGTGTGTTATGGGGTGTTACAGTAATTTAATTCAATTTAGAAAAAAACCTTTAATTTTATCTTAATTTAATCAAGATTTCTTAACTAAACCGGCGAAAAGTTTCCGGCGGCCAGAATCCGCCGGTAAACTCGTCGGTAAATTAATCACTGGCGCCAACATTTCTGGCGGCAGTATCCGCCGGAAATAAGTATTTCCGGCGGATATTGCCGCTGGAAATGTTGCCCTATTTGGTAGTGCTATAGATTTGTTTCAATTATATTTTGAACTATTATAATTGATTAATTTTTCAAATTTCCCTTTTTTTGTCATTTTACATTCAACTAGTTTTACCAAACATGATTTGTTCATTATAAGCTATCAGCTACCTCTCATTTAGTTTGTCAAACATAGCATAAATAGACAACTTTCGTCTACGGACTTTTTCCTGGGAAATCCGTTGCTAAAGGGTGATTAATCATCAAACTGTCACAAAAGTTGGTGGATAAATTGTTGGTAAGTAATTTAAGTTAGTGACAAATTACCTAGATATTCTCAAGGCATTCTGTTGGCATTTTCTTGAAAAACATCTGAATTTACTGAATCATTAGTATTTTCTGGGCGAATTACCGAGGGAAATTTTTCTGGGCGATCTTTGTGGGTAAGAGACGTTTACTACATGCTTACCAGGTAAGCGCTTACCGATATCATTTACCTTATTCATCGAGCATGACAAAGATCATAAAGCTTACCCAGTAAGAGACAAGGCAAGGACTGAGAGTCTTAGCCAATAAGTGTGAAAAAGCGACTCTCACCTGGTTTAAGGTTACCACCAATCAATTTTGATGACCAAAAATCTTACACGATAAAATAAATTGAGAGTAAATCTCTTGCCAGTAAACGCTTACCTGGTAAGAATTTGATAAACGACCCCTAAAAATCTTACCATCTCTAGTTTTTTTTTTCCTATATGTTTATTTTCTAGTCATAATTCAATTTACTAATCAAATGCATTGTAAATCTTGTACAACAAATAATTAAATAGTAATTAATTTCGTTTCCAGTTTTTCGAATTAAATTTTCGAATGATTGTTTTATTTTGACTTTAGGAAGAATATTATCCTCATGATTATGAAACCCTACAAACGTTGTTATTCAATTTTCTACCTCAAACCTTTACTACGATTGTTCTTCAAAATCATGACAAGGAAACAAGTTGGCCATAACAATGTCTGGCCCCGGAATCAATAATGCTGATGGCGTCACCGTCCACGATTATATCACATGATTTAATTTCCATTTCATAATCATAATCATGATCACAGTAACGTTAATATTTACATATTTTATTGAATTATTTGTGTTTAAATATATATGAACTTGATGGCCGCTAGTAGTTTCAAAAGTTGATTTTCTGAAATCAAGATTTTGGAAGTCGATTTCCGAAATAAAATCAAGGTCTTATTTTGATACGATATAAAATATATGATTGAAACTGATCATGATCGATATCTGAAAAGTTGGGTTGGTTGGTGGCAAGCGTGCATTGCCACACTCACTTCCAAATGAATGCTAGGAGACACATGATGATGATTAAAGTGGTTATTGATTGTCCAATTTTACAACACACAAACACCCATCATTCCTACCTTCTAATTCAAGATGTCAACCATCAAATATTGCAATTAACCTAACAATATAATGATTTTGTTTTTATAATACAAAATCAGATCACAGATCTAGTATATCTTATTCGAAAGATATATACATATATTTCTTTCATCCCAAACAGTATAGATCGATCATTCCAAACAGTATAGATGCTGTCTTATATGAAGATCTATAGCTTATGAAAATGTTTTGAAAATCTCAAAACAATAATTCAAAACACTTGATATCAAGGTTTTTTCAAGAGTACGTCGTTTATCAAATGCTTACTGAGTAAGCGTTTACCAACAAAAGTCACCACTCGCACTTATCTTATTTGGTAACATTCTTAACCATCAAAAAAGATTGTTGGTAAGTGTCTTTTAACCGGTAAGCTCTTACTCACATACCGGATAAGATTTTCGATTCTTACCAGGAGATAAAATTATCAGTCCTTGTCATGATACTCACCGAATTAAATAAATGACATCCGATAACATTTACCCGTTAAGCTTCGATAAACAAGTAAAACAACCTGCAAGTATTTTTGATCATACATACAAATGACACAAATTTAATCCAAAAAATTAAACATTAGGATTTAAAAAAAAACCCCTACCAAATGATTGCCACGTGCGTCGCTACTGTTTTGTTCTTGTTGAATTAGTGATGAGTTTAAATAATCTAATAAGACATAACAAATAAGTCGTCTTAATAACTTCCATTTTATCAAAAAGCTAGCTTAGCAACTTTGTTTATATAACTAGTTATGTTATAAGAATAGAACTGATTTGATATTATATAACAGATTCATTTAAAATGCACCGTTAATCTTATAAACATATAACTTGATCATTTTTTTATTATTAACCTAGATATCCAACCCGTTATGCGTGTAGACTAATCCCAGGACGACCACATGCTTAGGTAGTTCGGAATCACCGCATTTGAACCTCCGTCGTCATAAGAAGATTTTTGTTTCTCTTTGGATTTGAACCTGGACCTCCAAGTTCAAACCAATCAAGCACCACCCTTTAGTTAACTTGATGATTTTGTTTTGTAGGAAAGAGGAAACAACATTCAATGATTTTTTAAATTTGAAGTGTATATTATATATTTCTAAATATTAGCAAAAATATCATAAGAAAACAAGAATATATAGAGAAAACCCCAGTTTTCATGAAAGCAGAGATAACATGAAGAACCATATCTTGAACATTTTCAAAGCCCAAGACTTACATTCATTGATTGAAATTTAAACAAGTAATATGATCCCACCCAAATCTCAAACTCTGATAAGATAAATACTGAGTTCTGGTCCTCCATTGCTGTCTGGATTCATCATGTAAAAAGCTTCAGAATCTTTTGATCCCACGATCCTTTCAAACCTAGCTCTCATGTACATCAACTCTCCTTCACCACCACCACCACCGCCGCCGCCGCCTCCCTCCGGCAACACTCCGGCACCCATCGTAATCGGTCCTACAGAATTGAACACTTTCCATTCATCTGGTCCACAATCACGCCTCATAGCGTAACCACATTTCTTGCCATTGCAGTATGTCCTCCACAGTGGCTCTTCCAGCAGCTTAAAACTCTTTTTCTCGGCCTTTTTATCGCACTCCAATGCAATCCGAACCAGCCCTGATGCCATTTCTCGAACCAAGAAGCTTGTCGGGGTGGCAAGCTCGACCATGAAAGCCGGGCCCAGCTTGGAATCCTCTTGGAACGCAATGTGGACGTGACCACGTCTGTACCCAAAAAGGGTACCCACAACTCTGGTGGTCTTTCCCAGACCTGAACCAGAAGAGGGTCGGCTCTTACCAAACGTAAGAGCCCACCGGAGCTTAGAAACCGACATGAGTGCCCGTTTCTTCCGCCGTGGTGCAGCCTGGGGCACCGGTAGGCTAAGCTCGTCCTCTAGATTCAGCTCCTCCTCAGTGACAACACAGCCAAGTGACGATGATCTGAAATTTAGGGTTTCTTCTTCATCATCTTCATCCTGATCAACTTTCTTTTTCCAGTGGAAGTATCTTCTTGAGAAGGAAAAGGAAGAATCTTGAGGAGTTTTGGCAGCCATGATTGACCTCATCTTAGGAAACAAAAGCAAAGGAACAATTGGGGTAGCAAAGAAAATGATAAAGATCAGAAGCCTTTGAGAAAGATTGTGTTTTTTCTCCTTGTGAAGGTAGCTTCTTTAAGGGTTTTTCTGTCAGAAGTCTGTGACAGTGAGAGACTTCAAGGGTCAAAGTACTGACAAAAGAAGGTGACCAGTCCCCACCTAACTCTTGCGAGACTTCGTTGTACAGTTAGAGACAAATATATATATATATATATAATATATATAGATGTAGAGAGAGAATCTATGGAGACAAAGCTTTGTGATACATCTTTTCTGTTGGGGAAGAGAGATAGAGAAGGAATGCTTGACTGGCTACTTGCTGACTTGCATTGGAAAAAGTTTACAAGAGCAGGTGAAGCCAACACCAAACAATACCCACCAGGCCACCAAGACCATTTTCCCAGTTCCCACACACCCCTTTTGTTTTCTTTCTAAGTTCATGCTATGCTAATGCTAATGCTAATGCTAGTAGCCAAAGTATGCTACTCCACTTGGGGTTTTTCCCTATGAGGATGTTCTAGTTTTTGCATTCAATCCACATTACATTTGGAGTTAATAATTGCATTTTTAGCACATAGGTTCAAATGCGGTTATTCCGGGCTATCTGCAAAACAGGTGATCGTCCTGAAATTAGTCGACTCGCATAACGGGTTGGATATTCAGGTTAATCAAAAAAGAATAAAAATAGTTAGATAATAAAGTTAAAATTTACTTGGTAAAAAAGTTAAAATCGTCATCTACTTAAATATTTACCCTGTAAGCGTTTACCAAGTAAGTAATAAGAGTTTACTAGGTAAGCATTTACTAGTAAATAATCATGTTCGGTCAAAGACTAATTGATAAGTAGTTGTATGAACTAATCACTATTTATATTAAAAATAATTGATAAATGAGATGAGAATATTGATTCAAAAAAATTCAAAAAGTCCAAGGTTTTTTGAGAAATATAAAAGATATCTATAATGTATTATAAAACATTTGAGAAAAAAAATTAAAACTATTTTTTGTACATGAAGTACTGTTTATTGATATATATTACTTAAAGTTCACGATTACAAGTAAATTGTGCATAAGTACAACTTATTAAAGCTTCATGCTTGAATTCGTGTAACTAACCATAGATAAATATAATCAAATACAGGATAAACATATCATTTTAAATATACAAAATCTAAAATATTATTAAGATAATCTAAAAACATTATCATTTTCTCAAAACTACATAAAACCGTATTATAACATTGACAGATGACAAAATAAAACAAAACATTAATATCGAGATGTATATAGCTGCATTGTGCGAGTACTCTTCTACTAATTAGAAAAACACTCAAACTTATTGAAATATTATCCAAAATAGATTTTCACAAACTTAGACTTTTTTTTATTAGACTGGAAAAATAGAAGTTGTAGCAATTGTTAAGCATGATCTAATGTTTTTTAATAAGATAATTGAAATTATTCATCAATTGTTGTATGTCGTGTGTATATTATATATAATAATTGAATGCATTCAAAATGATGTTATTTATAAAATTTATTATTTTTATTCAATAAAAAATATTTAATTATTTGAAAATTTTGTTTTAAATTGTCAAATTGCAAATAGTTAATTACCAAGATTCAATCATGAGTTATTACATGAAAAAATAAATCAAAATTATAAAGTGAAAGTCCTATTCCTGAGGGTCCAATGAATTCCTAATTGGAATTAGAGGGTCTTTAGATAAATTAAATGAAAATGATAATAAGGTGAGGTGCATATTAATTCATATTTGACTTTGTAAATTCTAACATAGATTCATACTTTAATTTTAATCAGAATTTATATGTGAATCAGTTTATAATTTATAATTCAGATTTATATGTAAATATATATATATATATATATATATATATATATGCCATCATGAATCCTAAATTAAAGATAAAACGAAATTCTCGTTTTCATGTAATTTATTGAGTTAAAGTATTAATTAAATTTTAAATAATTTATTTTAGAAGAAAATTTTTAATGTGTTTTTTATTTTACAAAAGGGTAAACGTTTAAAAATGGAGTGGATTAGTGTTTTAGTTTGCTAATATAAGTTTAAAAATGTCCCACCAACTTTTCTTAGATTTTTAAACAAGTTATAGTTTGTCTCTATTTAGATATATGATCTTAAGATCTTCATCGTTGAATTTTTTTTATCCATAGGTTTCTTATGTATTTGCAATTTGCATTTGATTTACCCGTATATATATATATATATATATATATATACTATATTATAATGCATTTGGCTAAAACTCTTAAAAACTCTTAAACTCTT